CTTTCGTCGACCTCACAACCACGAGCTTGGCGCCGCGGCCTCATGAAGAGAAGATGCACATCGTCGATTCGTTTGTTTTAAATAGATAGGACAGCTGCAATGTTCACGCAATGTGCTTCTGGATGGGACTCATGGGCGGCTGCCACCGAGCGTGACCCGTCAAGGCAATCGGGCTCGAGACGGGACGGCTACGCTTGTTGTACGCGACGTGCTTGATTGCAAACCGAATTGGGCTCGGCGGGCAGCGTTGGTAGACGTTGTTGGTCGATATGAGCTGCTTGGGGCTCGACCGAGGCTCTAGGTCCTCCGTGTTGGCTGTCGTCGTGTCGGACGAGATGGATTCGATCCGGTCGCGCTTCGGCGACTCGAGCGTCGGCGATGGTAGCACCGCGTTGTCGTAGTATTGGTACTCGACGGAGGGATCAAGCGCCGTGGTCGACGGCGTGCGCTTCTTGGAAAAGGACAACCAAGTGGGCAGTGTTGGCATCGTTGTGCGATGGATGGCAAATTCGAAAGTGACGCTGTTGCATATCAAGACTTGGCCGCTCCACCTCACCACAATCAAGAATCTAGCACTTCAGGCGGTGGCTTCATCTCACCGCATGGCAGTTGTATCACTCGGCGAGCGCCAATCTCGGCAATCTGGGGATGCTTGCGGAGTGTACCTTGAGGGTGGGCGACGCCAGCTGGCTCTGACGGCTGCTAAGGACGAGCTCCCGGCCACTCGGTCGCACAAGGAGCTTTGCCCGGTGCTTGCGGTGCGAGCCCGGTGGGTACACACTTGCACCGAACTGGGTACCACACGATTGGTCGACGCTCGGGTCGTCGTCCCATCATACACTGCACGTTTAATGCTGCACGTTGCTCGTTCTATTATTGTTTGTGCGCTCGCAAGCATGCCCATGTCACGGCATGTATCTGGTCGGGGACCCTGACGCAAACGACGGCTGTAAATATATGTAGCGACGACTGCGCGGGGACCCATCCGTACCGGTACGTCAACCCCACGTCAAGCTCATGGACGTATTTGGTGACAAATCCTCCCGTCAATCCACCCACTTGGATGGTACCCAATGGAGCCACCAGAATCGTTTGGTCGAGGTTTTCGTCGTGGTGCACATCCTGCGATGGATGTGAATATTCAAAGATTGGTCGCAAAGATGTGGATGTGGAGACGCAGGATGCTCCGTGTTTATAGACAGCGGCAAACTCAGTGTAGTCTGGCTCTGGCATCTCGACTTCTGCGAAGTTGCGAAGAGTGCGATACCGGTACAAGTACCGGTAGTGGCGAAGCGATGCAGTGAGCACACTCACAACCGTCCATCTACAGTATATAGGTTCCGTACAGTGTACTGTGCCGAGACCTACTGTAGTCAAGCGATATACACTTGGCAGTCTCTGTTTGCAACGGTTTTATTTGTTGGTGTGTTGGCGTACATTGTACTCGGTTGTCGTTGGCATCCACCCACGAGCAACACCAAGATTATCCGTCTCATCTTGACCAGTATCAACAACAACAACCGTTCCAACATACGTGTACCGAGCAATAGCATAATAGTACGCATTTCTTTCGTGCTGTAAGACTTTGATGTCTTTGTTAATCACAACTAAAGTGTGGCCGCCGGTGGTCGAGGCCGGCCACGCGATGTCGTTAGAGGCAAGTGGCCCATTTCGAGGAGCGCGTTGTCGCCCGCCTCCGCCGCCTTGTTGGTACTGCACCCAGCGTACTTGGCAAGAAGCACGAGCTGCCGGACCCAAACGCCGACGACCGCAAGAGTGATGAGCGACACGGCAGTGTACGAGAGGACGAGCTGCGTTTGAATCGTAATGCGCATGTTCAAACCGGCGCCAATACTGTAGAGGATCAGTAGGAAACCTTCGACGCCGAGCGTAGCGTGCAAATGCACTCGGCTCGGAAACGGACGCCGGTGCAAGATGAGGAGGACGAAGAGACCGTGGACAACCATAAGCGCAAGCAGTTGCGAGACGCCGTCGAGTGTGAGTGCGGCGACGATACCGGCGATGACAGTCTCGAGAAAGAAGACTGCGCCGATGAAGCAGCGGCGGTCGTACTGCATGTTGGCGTACAAAACGCCAAAGACGATGCGGACACGCCACTTGGCGAGGGCGATGCGCGACTGCCGGTGCAGCCACTGAAGGAGGACGACAGTGCTGAGAAGCAAGAGCAGCAGTGTCGCAACGGCAAGGAGGCCGTTCGTTGACGACCACAGCGACGTCGAACCGTCCTGGAGGAGCTCAACGACGGCGATGTAGGTGAGCGGCAACACGGCCAAGAATCCGATGACAACAAGAAGCCCGAGACACTGGTGCGAGAGCGTCCGCAGTTGCACGTAGCGCGAATGAGCGCTCGCGCTCTCAGAGTCGTATCCGACGGCAGCGCGCGATGCCACGTACGCCCACGCCCCCGATGCAGCGATAACCAGCAGCAGCAGTGCAATCACACAGAGCACCGTGGCCATCAAGCGCACAAACCAGTCTTGCTCGCGGACGCCGGACCGCAGCGCAAACTGAACAAAGCCAGAGGGGTCGTACGACGTGAGGCCGCGACCCAAGACTGCGGTGGACACGGCAGTCGACGTTGACGGCACGGTCGTGGCTGAGAGTGATGGCACGAGGAAAATACTCCAGCTGAAGTTGTCCAGAAACCGAATGTAGACGAGTTGCGGGCGGTTGTTATTCTTGGTGAGCGCGAGAACTGCCACATGCTGGAGCGCGCTTAAAAAAGCGGGAGCTCCCATGAGTTGGGCTGCCATAGCGCCTCAGTGTATGCATCTGGCGCGACGGACTCGGGGTGGATCGCCTGAAAGTGGAAAAAACCGAGTAATAGCACGGTCGTCCCAAGCACCGCCGAGATGAGCGGACGCAGCCACGGCATATCATTGTTGCCGATCGAGGTCTCCGCTGTAAGCGCTGCGAGTGCATGTGCGTCCACCTTGGCCATTCTTGAGCGACTGAGCAAAATCGCTGTGCTCATTG